GAACAGGAAGTGGAGAGAGTGAACCAATCATGGAAATATCACATTTAAAGCAGGACTGTCCTGTGACCCTCTGCAACATTATGCATGCATCATAACAGATTATAACTAATGTTGGAAATGAAAAAAGAACACAAATTGCAATATATTCATTTATTTTAGAAGCATATCTTACTGTTGACATATGTTGGATAGAACTGCTAATTTCCTGCTATTTTGCGACATTTGCAAGTCCTTCATGGTCAGGGTCATTCTTACCCCTAGTAGTACACATTTAACCTAATGGTTATTATGCATTTTGACATTGTTAAGGTGGGTGAAACTATAAAAATATGAGAGCCATAGAGATTTGTATCATTTAGTTCTGACACAAATTTTGCAATGATTATAAGAATAAATTGTGAAGGGGCCCTACTCGTGATTTCAGAGTTAAACCCAAATCAAACTGAGCTTTAGACAGTTACCGCAGTTTGCTACTGAAAGTGTGTTTGTCTTTTAATTTTGAGCAGTTCAAAGATGGCAACTGCAAACTTTACCTTAGTTTTCCAAATCTTGCTTCTACTCCAAGATGCGTATCAATGTATCTGATACATTTCAGTGTAACAGTTAAAATTGGATTCAGAATAAATAACTACACTCCAAGGTTATTCTTATATCTACCCATGTTAAATATGTCTTTTCATTCCTGAATATTATGCAGTTCTGGTTGTTTACTACTTTTAAGAGAAGCCAAGAGCAACATAGATGACATTCTGTAGCCATTGTCATACATACTCTTAGATTTATTGGACTACTTTGTGGACCAGGTGCCTGCAACAAAACATGTGGGAGTGTCAGCAAAGTTTGTGGTTAAATTCAGTTAATGTGAATATCCATCCATTATCTATACTGCTTATCCTGAAGAGGGTTGTGGGGGGGCTGGAGCCAATCCTAGCTGACATTGGGTGGGGTACACACTGGACAGGTCACCAGTCTATCACAGGGCTGACAAAGAGACAGACAACTACACACACACACACTTTCTCCTATGGGCAATTTAGAGTCTCTGGACTGTGGGAGGAAGCCGGAGTACCTGAAGAGAACCCAGGCAGGCAGAGGGAGAACATGCAAACTCTGTGCAGAAAGGTGCCAGGTCGGCTGGGGCTCGAACCTGAAACGTTCTTGCTGTGAGGTGACAGCACTAACCACCATGCCACCATGCCACCCTAATGTGAATATTTCATCAACATCTTTCACCAGTAAGTAAATTATTTTATGGGCTAGGCAGTATATAAAAATGGAATAGTTTTATACAGTTGACATTATTATCTTTACATTTTCATTAAAATTTCAGATTCTTTCTCAAATCAACTTCTGATTTCTCAATTTATACTGAACTGTCAGAAACACATATTGTAGGACATCAGAAAGCAGATGAGCAGAGGTTATGCCTAGCAGTGCAAGGCCACATGCTAACAAGCTACTTATTAGTAATGGAACATGTTTGGTTTTGATTGCACGGTACAGTATGTGTGTGTGGATTCTCTCGCTGTGACAGGCCTACCCTGGTACTTCTATGTATTTTCATTGAACATATTTAGAAATTTAGCACACCACAAACATGGTTTTTCAAAATGAGAGAAAGACAAAAATGTTGACATCTCAAACTTGTTTTTGACAGTGTTGGATTCAGTATTCACCTTGTTCTTTTCTAAGCAACTGTATACACTGTAATGGGGGTAAGAGGTTAAAAGGTGATTTTTTTTTTTTATCAGTGAATTTAGTGGTTCAGTATAAGCTCATTTGAAATGTTTGCATTTTAGACAGTTATTCATTTATTTCTGTAAACCTAATAAAATACAGCTGTAATTGGAGGATTCATTGTGAATGTTTCATCAAACATCTGTACATAAGTATAATAACAGGTTAAAGCTACTAGTTTTTAGCGCTTAAACATATTGATGTTCAAAATTTAGTTTAGACTGTTCCATGGAAGACTGAAACCCAGAACTGGTCCCAATATATATCATTTTAAATTTATATGTGTGACTGACTTGTACTCGTGCTGTGTGTCTACCTCTGTGTGAGAGTGTACAAAAAGGCTAACAGATTCTCAGCTAGTTTTCACACCCACAGCATCACGTTGTCATGTCATTTCAGTCCTACATCAGCTCCTTTCACATTCGTGAATACCTAATGGCTTTGTTATGAGGAGGATATTATCCCTCGCACTACTCATGTTTATAAGACAGCAAGCAGCGATCCAGTTTCCTATGGAGACCACTGAAATCAAGGCTGTATCATCATCTGGATTTCCTCTCAAAATTTGTTTTGTGAATCGTGCATTAAAGCTGCCAGTTTCAGTGCTCACATTACAATATAAACGCATTCACTGAAACCTGTTTGGTCAACACTGACACACAGGTTTAGTAGGCAAACACAGAACTACACCAGCACCAAACAGTCAACATGAATCCATTTACACATAGCCTCATATGTGCACATGTGCACTCATGCAGCTGCACGGCTTTAGCAGACATGTTTCTCCTTTGCTCCATGTTGGTGCTGTGTGATTACTGCATGCATCTTGAACACTAAAGCATTTATCTTTAAATGACCTGCACCTCCTGTCACTGCTGAGCAATAGTGAGACGCTTCTAATTTTCTGCAAGATAATGGTAGTCATATTGAGATGAAAAAGGTCAAGGGTTGGCTCGTGAGGTTCTGATTGGTTCAGAGCATCACGCTGCCCCTGGAGATAAAATGGAAAGCGATATTTCATTTTTAGCACCACCCTTCCAGACTGCATCACAATTTTAGGTAATAGTTCCATGAGGAGGCCCAATTCTGCAATTATTAGAGTGCATCTAATCACAAAACACAAAAACATCTACTCTAATGTCTTGGATCAGCGTTTTTTTTGTTGTTTTTTTGATCTAAGGCATAAAAGCTATGTGGTCTTCCACATGCTGTTTTTAATATTTAGTGATTCAAAATTTCTCCCACCCCCTCCAACCAGCAAAGATTGATGGCTTTTGTTAATACATATGTATAAGATGTGCATATGCAGTTGAACCTGCCGTTGACCTTCATCTCCTCACATATATTCAGTGAGCTACTACTGTAACACTCTGCATTGCAGTGTTTTACAATGAAAACAAATGCTTTCTTGAAGTAGATACTGTAAGCTATAATGGACCATGCATTGATTCTCTTCAATAAAGCATCCATATATCATTATTCAGAAAGTGCAGCTGTGCTTTATTCTGTATGTGCTTCAATAGCGATGTGGGGATGTCATTAAAGTGGAGTGGATGAACTTATGCTGAACCTTTAAATTTTTTTTCCGCCAATATTCTGCGGTAACATGGCTTTGTTCATTGAATGCAATATTTAATGCATGCTTTGACCAAAGTGGTTAGAAGATCATTACTTCCTGGTGCGTGAATGTACCGAGGACCAAACTATAGCTGACGCATGTGACATCCACCATTGTACCTGGCGTCTGAGTCCACACTGCCTTGAGGATGCATATATGTATATATAACAAAAACACTGCTGAAAGAAACCATTGCACAATGAATAAATCAGTAAAATCACACAAACTCTGTCTCCCAATAGAGGTGCCCCTGATACCTAAAACAAACATATGAAACAACAGGCACTTTCATTTCATCACCTCAGTGATGTAAATTCCCAAAAGCATAATGGACCAACAAAAGTAGAGAAACAAGCATTTGTCTGACATTTTTTGTTTTGGTTTTCCCTGCTTGGCAGCTTTTGCATAATCTCTTTGGCCTGGTTTCTACGTTGTGCTTTTTAAATTCCAGCCTGAGGGTAAAATGCATCACACGCTATGTAGTGACCCAAGCTGCATTTTCCAAAGAGTAGCCCAGCCAGTGGGAGTGGCCTGAGCTTGTTGAGGAGACTGCCCTTTAAGGTCATTACAGTGGTCATGTGATAGGCCAGCGGAGCCCCCTGGGCCATATGACAAACTGAGCTGCCAGGCCGAGGTGTGTGTCAGGGGTGTTTTTCCACAAAGCATTCTATAAAAGTGTAACTGGGCTGTATTTGCCCTTTCCTCCTGCTATGCGTTCAGCCAACAGGCCCCTGAAGATCTCTTAAAAAGTGCTGATCCACAGAGCTGGGCTGGTGCTCTTGTAATCCTGCTAGCGCTGCTCCACCTCCCCCCACAATCCCACCCTCTGTACCTTCTGCTTCCTCCCTCACATTCCCCCACTGTGTCCTGCTGATGCATTGCTCTGATACGAACGACAAGGTGATGGGATGAAGGGGCTTGTTTGGGCCCCAAGCTAATTACCACACATTAGAGCATGACTAAATAAATCTTAAGTGCTGCTAATTGCTTGCCAGTGAAAACAATAACTGTGCTACTTGCCCAGAGGCTCTGGGGTAGTGAGGGGCTGGGGCACTAGGGACCAGGGGCCCTGGCACTGGGCCAGCAGAAGACACCAGCACCATCAGTCAACTCCCACACCCCCTCTCCCTTCATGTTAAAGTCACACACCACTTGGCACTGTCACTACATGTGCCATATGCCCCACATGCACCACATCATTCACCCAGTCTCTAACACACTCCCGGCAGCCCTCATCAGCAAAGAATAAGCTATACATGACAGGCACAGACAAGCTTGGCCTGTCTGTAGAGCCATCATACATCACTGCATTAATAAACATGAATTAGTAATGGCACAATTAGATGGGGTTGTTCTGACATTTACTAGTACAATAATGGTTCTCTCTTCCCCACAACCCCATTTGGCCTGTACTGGAGCGCTATCAGAACTTAGACCTTTAGATGCGATGACTGGAAGGGGTAGTAATGTCTCAGTGTGTATCTTTGTTTCCTTTTTTAAAGTTAGTTTGTGTTTTACTTGGTCAAAAAACAATGAATAATGACTGATAATTATCAGATGTTTTAAAACTCCCATTATCAGTTCAGCTTTATTCCGTATATGTGTATGTTCATCAGTGTCATGTGTACATTTGTTTACCTCTCAGGTTGCTTTCTGCTCTGTGTGAAGAAGACACTTGACCAGCCTGTGCTGCCTACTAGATCTCCTGTAGCCCAGAGGTAAGTTCAACACAGACATCCCAGCAGCCACACTGAATGGGATTGCACAGGTTTTCACTAACAAACTCATTGTACTTTCTGACAATTATTTGTTAAACATTTTCTGACTGCTTCCAGCTGGGCTTCATTCAAAGCTGGACAATGTGAAATTGTGTCCCCCCCACAAAGATTCACACCATCTAATTCTGTCTGATTTGCAACTTATATTTTGTTCTGTATCATGACACTCATAACAAAGAAATGCTTTACCTGATGGAAGTTTCTTAAAGTAAAAACACACAAAAGTTTAGTAGTTTGTCTTTGCGCCCTGTTTTTATTTAGTCTGCCAGCTGATGCTTTCATACAACATAAGGTGTAATCAGAGGAACATTATGCTTTAATTTTAATCAAAGCTCATTAGCATTAAAAATATTGGCCACAAACCTTAATTTGAAAACAGTATAGCCATTAAGAGTCCAATTTTATTCAAGTTATTATAAATTCTTTTGTTTCACAGGTTTTGTATTTTTAGGAGTGTCTTTTATCCCTTGTTCAGTTTTGATTATTTTCCATAACATGAGGTTTCATTTCCTTAGAAATGACAGGGGTGAATGGTGATGTCTCAGTATCATGTTTACCCTCTGCCACTTTCTGATCCTCTCCTTTCCTCATAAACCAGTAGCTCCTCATTTGCACTGTCACTCTTCTGCTGTGTTTTATTGCTTTCCCAGGGGACTGGTGCGCTTTTGTTAGCTTTTCTGTGAACACGCACAGCCTAATTGGTTGATTAGTTCAGGTTGACTGGCCTGTTAATTGAATAGTAATTTAGATTTGATGTGTCTAATGATGATCCTAATTTATTGTTTGGCATTCATCCAAGGGTTTGTTTTCGAGAGCAGGAATCAAACAAAAAGGATGAAAGGAAACAAGTGATTCAGTGTCTCAGTGCTGCTCCAATAGCACAGTAATTAAATCTTTATGTAAGGTGATAACACTTAAGGGTGTTTCTCCTGAAATTAAGCTGATAAAGACAAAAGGAAGATGCCACTATAAGTTCAAGCAACTAGATGTTTAATAAAATGATGCAGCCTTTTGTTTTTTTCTTACATCCTAGCAAAAGTATTTTCATTACACAGTACTATGTACTAACCCTTTATTCTGAATATAAATAATACACAAAAACTCTGACACAAATATGAAAACATTGTGGGACCCAGCTGCTTATAAGATCATGAACTTCTTTCACCAAAGGTGCAGTACCTAGAAATTTAGTATCAATAAATAAACATCACAGTCAATTCAAGATATTGTTTTATTTAGTAAAACCAAAAAAAGGCGTAGCTAAGAATACTAGCCACCATATTTAGCCATGACATTATTTTACAGTGAGAACTATTGATTTGAATTTAGCTAGATTCCAGCTTGGTCCATTTATAGTACATTTATAGTGCCGGTACTTGTAGTACTGCAAGTATTACTACCCCTGTTTTTCTTTAAACAGTGCTGGATAATGTTGAGATAAACATTTTAATATCTAATCTTTCTACTGTTGTGACAGTTTTTAGCAAGCTAAGGCTGCATTTGAACTGACTTTAACCCTGAGTGAACAAGTGCAGCCCTCTCATTCATTTGAATAAAATCAGGAAGGTGGCACAGTGGGCAGTGCTGGCAGAACATTGTAGGGTTGTCTGGCAGAAATGTTTAACCTGGCTGCAACGCAACATCATTCAGCAAAGCACTGCTGTAAACCAATCAAGTACATGCAAGTGCACATTTCTGGTAGGTCACTTTTAATGTGAACACTATGTTTGTATCTTGTGATTGCCATTACAAAAAATAAAATAATTGCAGCCACAACAACTTTCCAGAGTTGTAAAATCCTGGCTGTAAGTATTACAAACCACTGTGCAGGGTTTGGGCATCTGATAATCACTGTACTTCCTGGGTTGTATTTCATTGTTCCACCAGTACCTGAACCAAGAGGCCCTCATCAGCGGTGGCACACGCTGTTTTAATTCATGTAAAAGTTTGTGGTTCCTTACATTGCTTTACATTTCATCTACATGTGGATCTTGTGATGTTTAAATATTTTGAGCACATTTATTAATATTAATCCACATATCAGGCCTGTGACAACTGACTTTTTTCATGTTTTTCTCCTCTTTATGCATTTTCCTCTCTTCACTTAATCACCATTTGAGTCTCTCTGGGAGTCATCACTTGTGCTGTGCCTGCACTACAGTACAAGTACTAATTCTGAGTCAAGAAGTGTGTCCTAATCCCAAAATATATACCCATTCATATCGAGTATGAGTTAAATATATTAGGTTTACATTAGAAGAGTGATAA